CAAAGGACCAAAGTTGTGCCAAGGTGAACAAAATCACAATTTTAGGCGGTTTGGGGCATTTTGGAGGTTCTGGGCATCTTGAACCGGTTCAGCCCCATTGAACCGGTTCAAGAGGGGATCTTTGGTTCGAGAATGGGCATACTGCCCATCTGGAACCGGTTCAAGTCCCCCAGTGCACAATTTTGTCTTCTACAGTTTGACAACTTTTATCACCAGACTTCAGATGGTCATAACTTCTTCGTTCCGGACCCAAATAGGGTCATTCTTAAGTCCATTTTCAAGAATTTTGAGTTGGCTTTCCAATGAGACTAACCTTATCCTTAAATTCCATCCATGTTAAGAGTTATGATCATTTTAGTGGGACAGTGTCAGAAATTTCTTTGAATCGGGTGAGGGTACTTTTGGGAATTTGTATCCGGCGACCGTGGAACCTCACCAAGCATCATGGAATGACTAGAATAGTTTTTTTAGACCTCATTTTACTACTTTAAGGATGGGTTATCCTTTTATATTGTAAAAAGACCATTTTACCACTAGTATGTCCTCGGGTTCGGGTAAGGACCCGGTTAGTGATCTGGACCCCTGGTTTGGTTTGTTACACATAGTCACACAAACATTTACTAAATAATCATGCATGAAATAAAATAAACCCAAAACACAATCCCTGTGCTCAACAACTTCCGTAACGGGTCCCACCTGGGAGCTCTTGACCCGAAAAATAGAAAAATGTCGAAATGACAACCAATGCATTTTCAAAAGTTCTGAACTCAAGGAAATATCCCAATCAACTCTTACCACTCACCCGGCACACCCCACAGTATTCGGCACGTAAAACGAGACGGAATGAAAATAATTCAGAAAAATCAAAAAAACCCAGAAAGTGAAAAATAGGAAAAATCAGGATCATTACAGGCTCTTTATTTATTTATTTATTTTTATTTTCTTTACTATTTCCTTTTATATGTAGTTTATTTTTATTGTAAAAAATATATTTATGATTTATGATTTTGATTATTTTATTTTTATTTTCAAATAAATATGTATGATTTATATTTCTTTGTCTTTTGAAATTTTTTTTAAAAAAATTTGTGAACAAATATTTTAGAAATTTTTTGTAAAAAAATAATACTGTTAGAAATGGTCTCTTTTTTTTTTTTTTTTTTACTATTTCCTTTTATATGTAATTTAAGTTATACTTTTAATGACTTTTATACCTTGAAAATTCAAGTGGGGTATAGTAGGATAATCTTAATAAGAAATCACCTATATGAGTGTGAAGTGGGGTCGCTTCTATGAGAACTTCTAAGACTAAGTATTCTAGAGCACTTATGAAATACCAGGAGTTGTTCAGGGCCATATGAACACAACCATGAGAACCGACTTTGTGCGGGAAGGAACTGTGTGCTTGTTATTGTCTTGGTTTACATCAACGGCTGAACAGTTTAAGACATCATGTTCACTGGTTAGTCAGTAAATCCGATAATAATATACTAGGGAAGGTTTAAGGCCAAAAGCTACCTATCCCGATGCAGTTACTTTCCAATAGTACTCTCTCTAGTGTCTGTATCTTCTTCATTTGCAATTTACGCAAATTTCCATTCATGTGGGGGATTGTTGGAAACGGGGGCATTAAAAACATAAGCTTTGGATGAGATTTTGAATAGATTCTGCTAAGAATTGTTTGCGGATCTATAGACAAGTGCATTCCTCTCCGTAAGGAGATCAATGTGGTATATTTACTTTCTCAAACCCGTTTCCGAGTGAATGAGAAATTACCTTCAAAGTAAGGTGTTTGATAGGCTTAAATGGGTTTGTAAAATGTGAAAAATATTTGTCCCACATCGAAAAAATATTAAAACCTAAAGATACCAAGAGGACTATTTAACCCTTGGGTTCATTCCAAAGTACTCCAATTCAAAATCCTTTTCTCTAATTCTGAATTCTCTCATTTCTCTTTTTCTATAAGTGTCTATGGGTACGAACCCTTGTCTTTAGGTTCGAGTCTTAGTCAGTCACTCCTAGTCCAAGTTTAGTCAGTCACTACGAGTCAGAGTTCGAGTCAGAGAGTACTACACCGAGCCGGTTCGCCTATCATTTGGTTTGCAGTGCTACTACCGAAGGAAGTAAAAGTCGCTGTATCCTGGGAGATAGACGTCACTGAGTCCATTAGCACCATAACGGGGCAAATCTGTCTTAAAGATATAGAATCAAATTCTAACTTCAACTTATTTCCAGATTCTTTTATTTTATTTTATAAGATATTATATATACAAATTATTATTTTATAATAATAATTATATATATACACACATTATATTTATGTATAATATTTAAAAAGTAATAGTATAGTGTATGGTATATTTAAACCATATTTTGGACAACATGTCACACCACAGCTTTCAAGTGGTAATGAATGATTTCTGTTATATTTCTTAGAAGCTGTGGAGAACGTGAGCAAGTCACATTCATAATTCGGCCATTGCGGATAGACATAATTCGAAAACTGAAAGAAAATTCAAGTAAAAATTTTTGGCCATTGCGGATAGACATTGTTTGGTATATATTGAAATCATATTGTTTACTCCGTAATATATATGTATATAGTATAATTAAAATTCAAGTAGCGCGTGTGGACCGACATTGGTTGGTACATATTGTAATCATATTAATTGTTTAGTGCCTTTGGCGGTGGGTCAAATAACCCATTTAGAGCATCTCCAATGCTAAAAAGCTAAATTCGGATGCCAAATCTATATTTTGACAGTGCTACAGTGTCAAAATGCTACATTTTAGCAATTCTGCTCCAATGATGCATTTTATGCAAAATGCTATTTTTTAACACAATTACCATTCTTTTTCAACTACCATTCCCACCATTCATATTTGCATCAATAATATTAATATTAGGCACATTCCAAGTCAAGTTATAGACATTAAGAGGAAACTATAATTAAACCTAATAAAAAAGAAGCAAAAATCTAAAATGCGGCAGGTCAAAAAAGGACCAAAAAAAATAAAAAATAAAATGATCAAATTAATGTAATCAATTTTTTTTTTTTTTTCTGAATGGAGTATTTTATAAAAGAAATCAAAATAGTAGTTCAATTACAACAGGAGAAATTCTCCAATACATAAAAGAAAATGGACTAAACCCATTTCCAACCATCCTAATCTGAAACTAGGATACATTAACAAAACCAAGAAGCCCATCAAAAAATTTCAGTAGCAGCAGCTCCTGGAGCAAGCAACCAGTCAAGAAAAACCAACAAGAAGTCATTGGTGTCAAAGATACAAGCAACCAATCAAGGTATACCAACAGCAAGTCATTTGTGTCGAATATGTAAAGTGAAAAAATCTTATCTGTCAAACCACAGCACAATGTAAAACAATCTCCAATCCTGCAATGCAATCTTGTAAATGGAATGTCAAACCACAGCGCACCCTGCAACTGAACTTTAGCTTATTTCATCCGGAAAAAGCATCCCTAAAAGCATCTAAACCAATTGAGAAGAAACTCAGCACCTCCCAAATAATGCCATTTGCTGCCACTAACGCCAACTCCTGACCTTCTCCATGCAACACAGAGTTCCTTACCCTCCATATCTTCCAAAGAAATACACAGAAAACCCCTTTTAAAATTTTGGATTGAAGACACACATTCTGAACCAACTATAAAACCCAATCCACCATCTGATTTAACCTTTGAAAATGCACAACCTGAATAAAAATGAACCTAAAATTAGCACCTATCATTTGATACTGATTGATTCTCTTTGATGTTTAATGTACATTTGCTTCTTTCTTTTTGATTTAAATATTGATGTTCTTGTTTTATTTTTAATGCACATATGTTTTCCACCTTTTCTCTTGAAGAATGAGAAGTCATCAACTTTGAATTGAGTCTATATTGTCATGATAAATAAGCCCATAAATTTTTACAAATAGAACTGTGTTGAAGTTGATATATATTTTAAAACACAAACGTAAATAGTGTGGTTGAAGAGAAAGAACAGTTTGGACCTTGAAAGTATGTTATGCAGATGTAAGGTTTCTAATAGATTAGTGTTATCAAACAAAGAATGATAATGATCACATTAAAATGCATTGATTTGATTCAAAACTATTATCTAATAGATTGTATAAAATCTAATAGATTAGTGTTACTAATTGATTAATGTTATCTAATAGATTGTATAAAATCTGCTCCATATTAATCACCATGTATACAACGATATATATTCAAATATATGTCTTCAAGCCTAAGGACACATGAACCAAACTATATATCTGTACCTTGAGCTTATTTTAAAAAAAGATAAATTAAAAGGAGACAATTTTTTTGACCAAAATCATATGATAAACCTAAATTATCAATATGCTTCCTAGTTGCATATTGAACTTGGAAAATCCCAACACCTATACTTAACATGTCTTGTTTCAAAATGTTACTTCTAACATTTCACACTGGTATAGAATAATTGATGTAACATATATTTCAATTAAAAAAGTGCATCAAACAATTACCACTACTTTTTTTTTTTTTTTTCCCCAGTAAATTTGTTCCAATTTTATCGGAGGTTCAGAAAGAAACTATAACTTGAATTTAGCATAAAATTATCTAATTGAGCTGCACAAGTAATTGAGACACATACATTATCATGATTACACAAACATCACATGAGAAAGAGCTTACCAAGTAAAGAAAAAGAAGCCGGTAACTAGAGCCAAAAATTTCTCAGCAAAGATCTTAGAAGGTTTGGAGACCCTGCAATTAACATTAAATTATCTAAATTTATATTCTCATCAACAATCTAACTAAAAAATCTTGTTGTATATCAAGCAAAATCAAAGACCCAATTCACCCAAATTTTCCCTCACGTATATTGCAATCATTTAAAAAAATAATAATATTAATGAATCCATTTTTGATTGATTCTGCTTTCTAGAAGATTTAGATTAGAGCTGAGAGGAAGATAATGAACAACAGTGTACCTTCGAGGTCAGCAATGGATTGATGGTGACCCAGCGACGAATCGGAGGGACAACGATGAGGGACAAAATGAGTCTAACAACAATGAGGAAGAGCAATGGATTGACGGTGACCCAGCGACGAATCGGAGGGACAACGATGAGGGACAAAATGAGTCTAACAACAATGAGGAAGAGCAATGGATTGATGGTGACCCGGCAACGAATCGGAGAGACAACGATGAGGAAGAGATTAACTTTTTGTCGCTGGTGGCCGGTCTCTTCTGTTTCCGTTGCCACCATTCTCTTCTCTCTCTCTCTGTTGCCCTAGATAAATACGAGCGAAATTGGAGCTGTCCCTTCTTTTCTGTAGCCCCAGTCTATAAGAAATAACAAAGTTAAAAAATAGTGGCCCATATAGCATTGCATTGGAGAGCCCAGTTTTAAGCCCACCTGATATATTTTGAATTGACAGCCCATATAGCAAGTGGGCTGGAGATGTTCTTAGTGCCATGGAACTTTCATTGCACGTGTTATATAATGTAGCTTCTTTTTATGCTATGTACTATTTATATAGCTTCTTTCATTTATTCATTTTTTTGGTAAATATTCTTCATTAAAAATGATAAGTACGTAGTATTTGGAAATGAAAGTGGGGTATGGAATTAATTTGACTTATAGATCCATAAATTTCAAGTCTTTAATTATTTGTTATCCATGGGAGTTTTATAGAAATTTTGGAAAGTACCCATGTATCAAAATACCCATGTTAACTATTTGTGTATTATCTACAAATTTATTAGACTTAGTTTCACTAATAAATTGTTAATTACCATTCAATACAAAATTTTGAATATGATGGGATGTATTTTTTTCAACATGTTATTGGAGATGTTAATACCCTTATTATTTTTCATGAAGATGATTTGTGTTGCATTTCTCAAGTCAATTGGTCTTCAAACGTGAAATGTCTTAACAAGGAACATCGAAGTGTTAGTAATGCTATTTTTCCACGATGCCATGGAAAATGTGAGCATGTCACCTTCAAAGTCAATCAGTGAAGGACTGAAAAAAATAATAATAATAAATAAAATAAATAAATTTTTGTTGTTATGCTGGAAAGGGACAAAAGTAGTGAAAAAGTAGATGCCATGCTCCATAGGTACTAATTACAGGTTTCACAAGATTACCTGAGGAGGCCCCGGACGACATGGGCCGGATCCGACTTGCAAACACTACATTCAGTCCGTACAGCTGGGTCGGCCCATATAAAGACACTGCCATATGGGCTGAACGCGAGTAAGCCCATCAAAGGTGACCAGGACTTATGGAGGAATAGGCCCAGATCCAGCAATCAGTAAATATCTTGTAAATATCTTGTAAATATCTATAAATAGGATAAGGAATGGAAATGAAGGGGATCTTTTTGAGTTGAGGTGTAAGAATTCTAGAGAGAGAAAGAGGGGAACGAATTTCTTACATCTTCAATTGGCGCCGTCTGTGGGAAACGCATGGAAGTTTGGTTGATCAATGAGGAATATCGAGTGGATTCAAACCAATTCGGTTGATCGAGACTCGATCTTTGGGATTTGGATCCAGATCTGAGCGATTGTGACCTACTCTGGAGGAATTACAATTCTTGAAGCTTTGGCAGGAGTGACTTCAGATCTACGCAACAACGAGTTGTTCGATTGTGGCAGGATCTGACGGATTTAGAGTTCAGACAATTCAGATCTCGTAAACAGTGAGCATAATTCGGAGAATTAGAAGCCAGATCTAAAAATTCCTACTCACAAAGCTCGGATCTACTTGCGAACTTGAGATTAATGCCTTTACTCCGTTCGGGAATAATGATAGGTGAAAGCTCCAATCCGATGGAGGCTGTCCAGCAAACAAAGCTTGAGGAGTTGATGAACTTGATTGAGAAGAGAATGCAGAATTGAAAGCTGGAATGCAACATCGGCAAATACCTGCGGTTTCGCATCCACTCCCGGTCGGAGAAGGAGGTGTTCAATCTAATATCGCGCATCAAGGCGAACAGGACGAGAACAATCAGTCAGCTCACCACCGTGATGAAAGGATGATGGACAATTTGCCGCCAAATGTTCGTCGAGTTGAAGATCACGAAGGATCGACTCACGTTGATCCGCATCGGGAAAGGTTCGACCGAGAGGAAGTGATGGAGGTTGATCGCCGTCGAGTAGCGTCGCCTTGGCAAAGAGAGTTCATAGAGGAACGGTCGTTCGATCCGTCTTACCGGCCCTCCATGGTTACTATCACTCATCACGGTTCGGAGGGCAGAACCGTAACTCACAGAGCTACCGCTGGACTCCAGAGAGAGAATGAAGCTCTCCGATCCGCAGCTCGGACGGTGGATTCACCATTCACCGACGAGATCTTGAATGCCCCGCATCCAAGGAAGTTTGCTATGCCAGTCTTTATTCTGCTCGACGGAACGACCGATCCGATCGATCATGTGTATCATATCCAGTTGAAAATGGCCCTGAATACGGAAAACGACTCTTTAATGTGCAAATGTTTCCCTACAAGCCTAGCCGGACCGGCGCTCAGCTGGTTCAAAAACTTGCCTAGGAGCTCCATTGGTAGTTTCCGAAACCTGTGCGATCGGTTCATAAGCCAGTACTATGGGAACAAGCGCCCGCCGAAGGACATCTCGAGCCTATTCACGATGAGGCAGCACAAGGATGAACGTCTCCAGGCCTTTCTTACCAGGTTTAATCTCACTAAGAGTATGGTGATCGAATGCCACCCTTCTACAGCAGTTCAAGCCTTCAAGTTAGCCATGACACGCGGAACTCCGTTTCACACCAGTCTGGTAGTGAACACGCCGACTACTATGGATGAACTCAATGAAAGAGCCGATGGCTTTGTGCGCCTAGAAGAAGAGGAGGCAGCTAATGCTCGGACAACGTCGCTTGTGTCGACCGAGGAAAAGTCCAAGGCAAAGATCAGGCAGAAGCAGGCTCAGCCGCAACGTCAGACCTCTTGGAAGGCAGAAAAAAGGTCCAGGGAGGAAGAGCTGATTACTCCGCTGAAGGTCACTCTGGCGAGGCTGTATCAGGAGAACAAAGATAAGTTTCATCCACCACTGCCAATTAGGCAACCCCTCGAACAGAGGGATCAAACTAAACATTGTGCTTTTCATTCTGATTTCGGTCATCAGACTAACGAATGCAGGAACCTGAGGAGGCAAGTGGAGATGTTGATAGCTAGAGGGGAGTTCGCGAGTTATGTTCAAGGTTCGGCGATGGAGCAGAATCGACCGGTGGAACAAATAAAAAGGAGTCATAAACAAAGCTCCTACAATTCACAATCAGTTCGTATAATCAATGCTATCCATGGTCGACCCGAGCCTAGTGAAGAGTCAGATGAGCTGCTCCGGGTGCGCCTGCGGCAGGCGCAGATGAAGAAAAGGGTCGGCAGTGTGAATACTCTACACCAGCAGAGCCCGTCGATGCAGATAAAGTTCAACTGGACAGACTTGCAGCGTGTTCAACTACCTCATGACGACCCGTTGGTAGTCAGTTTGACAGTGGCAGATTGCTTGGTGCGCAAAGTTCTGATCGATCCTGGGAGCAGTGCGAATGTCATGCCGAGGGACACATTTGACAGGCTCGAGATTAAACCAGAGAGGCTCAAGCCCACTGGAAATCCCTTGTTAGGGTTCGATGGGAAGAGGGTGGAGCCCGTCGGGATGGTGGAAGTGGAAGTTCAAGCTGCAGAACGAGCTCTTATGGAAACTTTTGTGGTTGTGGAAATTCACCCCTCGTATAATCTCCTGATGGGAAGAGGATGGATTCACAGAGTCCAAGGTGTACCCTCAACTCTGCATCAGGTCATGAGGTGCCTCGGACCCGATGGAGATAAAGTGATAGACATTCGGGGGGATCAGGTTGCAGCCAAAGAGTGTTATTCTGTCACACTAAAGCATGTTGGGAAAGGAAAGGCGCCCGTCCGTTCGGCAAGCCCCAGATAGCAATTACAGGAACCTCCGCTCGAGCAGAATAGGGTGGAGGAGTCAGTCGACTTGACCGAGGAGCCCCTTCTGGATGTGCAGATCGATCAGTCCAGGCCAGAACGAACTACCAGAGTAGGTATAAGACTGACCAGAGAAGAGCAGCAAGAGCTAGTGGATTTCTTGTCCCACAATGCCGACGTATTTGCATGGAGTCACCTCGACATGCCTGGAATTAGTCCCTCCGTATCCTGTCATTCCCTGAATGTCAATCCCAATTTCAAACCAGTGAAACAGAAGTAGCGAAGATTTGCTCCAGAACGTAATCAGATCATAGCGGAAGAAGTCGATAGGCTGCTTGATGCGGGATTTATCAGAGAGGTGCACTACCCTAATTGGTTGTCCAACGTCGTTGTTGTGCAGAAGAAGAATGGGAAATGGCGAGTATGCATTGATTTCACCAATTTGAACAAAGCCTGTCCGAAGGACAGCTTCCCGCTGCCTAAGATTGATCAAATGGTGGATGCCACCACTGGGTATGAGCGTTTAACCTTTCTGGACGCTTATTCAGGTTATAATCAGATTCCTATGGACCCCGCAGATGAAGAAAAAACTTCTTTTGTCACCGAGCGAGGAACATACTGCTACAGAGTTATGCCTTTCGGACTAAAGAATGCGGGAGCAACTTATCAAAGACTTGTTAGCAAAGTTTTTAAGAATCAAATGGGTAAGATTGTGGAAGCCTATATTGATGATATGGTGGTAAAGAGTAGAAAGAAGGATGATCATCTGAAGCATCTGCAAGATGTATTTGATGTACTAAAGCGATATGGGATGAGGCTCAATCCAACCAAGTGCTCGTTCGGTGTGAGTTCCGGACAGTTTCTGGGACACATGGTCAACCGCAGAGGCATCGAAGTTAGCCCCGCTCAAGCAGAGGCTTTGATTAAGAATGCCGAGCCAAAGACGATCAGAGAGGTGCAAGCCCTCACAGGACGAATAGCTGCATTAAGTCGATTTATTTCAAAATTGTCAGATCACTGCAAACCATTCTTTGACACGATTCGGAGCCATGGAAGGCAGGTCTGGGGGGATGAACAACGACAAGCATTGACTCATTTGAAGGAATATATGCAGAATCCACCAGTCCTGTCAGCCCCAGATCCGGAAGAAAAGTTATTTCTATATCTTGGAGTATCTGGTGTCGCGACGAGTGCCGTTCTGATTCGTTGCAAGGACGGGGTGCAATACCCGGTATTTTATGTAAGCAAAACACTGACGGAGGCAGAAAAAAAATACTCAAAGGCCGAACGGGTGGTACTTGCACTTGTAAATGCAAAAAGAAAGTTGAGGCATTATTTCGAATCCCACCCCATAGCTGTTCTAACGACTTTCCCAATCAGAACGCTTATGCACAAGCCAGAGCTCTCGGGCAGAATGACAAAGTGGGCCATAGAGTTGAGTTCATTTGACATAACGTATGAGCCGAGAACAGCTGTTAAGGGGCAAGCGGTGGCCGATTTCCTGCTAGAATGTGACGCCGAAGATACGGAAGAAGACCTTAGATGCGGCTCTTGGAAACTTTTTGTGGATGGCTCCTCTAACCAGATGGGGGCTGGAATTGGGATCAAACTGCAAACCCCAGAGGGTACTTCCTTGAGCCAAGCACTCAGACTTGAGTTCCGAGCCACCAATAATGAAGCGGAATACGAGGCGTTGCTAAATGGATTAAAGTTGGCCAGAGAGCTACAGATCAAAAGTTTGACAGTGTATAGTGACTCGCAGCTGATTCTTCGGCAGGTAAATGGTGAGTACGCGACCAAGGATAACACGATGGGGGCATATCGTTCTGCCGTTCTGCATAAAGCCAAGGACTTTGCAAAGATTGAATTCATACAGCTGCCGAGGGAACAGAATGCAGATGCAGACCGGTTAGCATGTAGTGCTTCGAGTTGCGGTGAAACATTGGCGAGGGTGATTCCAGTAGGAATAGTGACCCAGCCATCTATTTTCGAAGAACCGTTGGACTCTGACCCTTGGCAAGTCAACGTCATACCGTATGAACCGAGTTGGATTGACCCCATCATTACCTATATTCGAGATGGCGTTTTGCCTATGCAAAGGGATGAAGCTAGGAGACTCAAAAAGAATGCTGCAAAGTACGCCATCGTGCGTAACCAGCTGTACAGAAGGTCCTACTCTGGCCCATACTTGAAATGTGTCACCCCCGCGGAGTCGCAGCAGGTATTGCGAGCTATTCATGAGGGTGTGTGTGGCAATCATTCTGGGGGGCGATCATTAGCGCATAAAGCAATGACACAAGGGTATTTCTGGCCAAACATGTCAAGAGATGCGGAGGAGTTCTCTCGAAGGTGCGATAAATGCCAACGATATGGACCATTGATCCACCAACCACCTGAGGAATTGCACGTAATGGCCTCGCCATGGCCTTTCGCGCAATGGGGGATGGATGTGGTCGGTCCTCTGCCAACTGCAAGAGCTCAGAACAAGTATGTGTTACTGGCCATGGATTACTTCACTAAATGGGTGGAAGCAGAACCATATCCTAGCGTGACTCAGACTCATGTGAGACGATTTATTTGGAACAATATTATCTGCCGTTTCGGTGTTCCCAGATCAATAGTCATGGACAATGGCACAAACCTCGACAGCAGGCAAGTAAGAAAGTGCTGGAGGAGTATGGAATCAACCAGAAGTTGGCTGCAGTAAGTCATCCTCAGGCCAACGGACAAGCAGAAATCACAAACAGAACCATTTTCGCCTGCATTAAGAAGAAGCTGGAAAATCATAAGGGGAAGTGGTTGGATGAACTCCCGAACGTTCTATGGGCTTACAGAACCACCCTAAGGCGGCCGATTGGGGAGAGCCCGTTCGCAATGGCGTATGGTACCGAGGCAGTTATACCGGTTGAGCATTTAGTCCCCACTATCAGAAGCTTAGCATGGAGTCGAGATCAGAACGACAAGATGTTAAGATTGAACCTCGATATGATAGACGAAAGGAGGGACGCAGCGGCTATAAGGTTAGCATCGTATCAGCAAGTGTTGGCGAATAGTCACAACAAGAGAGTAAAACACAGGGATTTTGCCCCTGGCGATCTGGTTCTGAAAAGAAAGGTGGGGATGGTCAAAAAAATGATGCCACCCTGGGAAGGCCCATACAGAATTGTAGAAGTCATTGGCAAGGGGGCATATACGTTGGAAACCATGGCGGGAAGGTTGGTCAGCAAGCCCTGGAACGCCACGTCTCTGAAGAGGTACTACCAATAAAAGCTAAGTTCCGGCTTTAATTGGATGTTGTTTGTTGTCAATCAAATACGTATGAATGAGCAAGTTACTGAAATTTACAAAAAATAACTTTCTTTTCCAACGGTCTACTATAAAAATTTAAAGCCAAGTGGCAAGTGGCATTCTAGCCGAGCGCCAGGCACTTAAGCAAGATAAGTGGCAGCTGGCACCATGAGCCGAACGCCAGACACTTGCTAAAAATTTAAAGCCAAGTGGCAAGTGGCATTCTAGCCGAGCGCCAGGCACTTAAGCAAGATAAGTGGCAGCTGACACCATGAGCCGAACGCCAGACACTTGCTGAAAATTTAAAGCCAAGTGGCATGTGGCATTCTAGCCGAGCACCAGGCACTTAAGCAAGATAAGTGGCAGCTGGCACTATAAGCCGAACGCCAGACACTTGCTAAAAACTTAAAGCCAAGTGGCAAGTGGCATTCTAGCCGAGCGCCAGGCACTTAAGCAAGATAAGTGGCAGCTGGCACTATAAGCCGAACGCCAGACACTTGCTAAAAACTTAAAGCCAAGTGGCAAGTGGCATTCTAGCCGAGCGCCAGGCACTTAAGCAAGATAAGTGGCAGCTGGCACCATGAGCCGAACGCCAGACACTTGCTGAAAATCTAAAGCCAAGTGGCAAGTGGCATTCTAGCCGAGCGCCAGGCACTTAAGCAAGATAAGTGGCAGCTGGCACCATGAGCCGAACGCCAGACACTTGCTAAAAATTTAAAGCCAAGTGGCAAGTGGCATTCTAGCCGAGCGCCAGGCACTTGCCATAAACAAACACACGGCAAAGCTAATATAAAAGAAAAAGAGAGAAAAGATATGTATGTATTGAAAATAAGTTGAATAGAGCACAACACATAGGGAAAAAGAGTTCTGTCGTTTCATTAATATTGAGCATTGAGTTTACAAAAGAGAGATGTCCATCATTACAAAAAGATATGGAATGGAAGAATCCAAAGGAGCCCTAGCTAGACGCCTCAGTACCAACAGCATCCTGGTCGTGCCGACTCGCCTCCTCGGCCCCATCAGCCGTCTCACCTTCACGAGGTGGGGAATCAAGGTGAATGACTGAATCGTTCGGCTGGGGCTCAGCGTCAGCAGTGGCTATGGAAGGAACCACGGTTGACGATTGAGGAGCGGTCAGTGGCAGAGCGGTAGGAGGAGCTGTGATGATCCTTGAGGAAGCAATGTCCTGGCACTCATCGAATATGCGCTCCGCTTCGGTGGGTTCTGGGTTGACATAGACCCCCAGAGGTTCGATCCCCAGATCCTTGTCTACCTCATCCGGAGTGGAGCTGGTCTGTCCCTCATCCGAAACCCGGTCGGCGAAACCTTCCCGAAATCCTTGAGCATACCTAAGAGCACCGACCCTTGAGAACCGAGCGTGAAGAGCCAGCATCCCACCACCCACTCTGCTGATCGCATCGATCAGAGCGGTACGCTCGTCCAGAGCTCTTTTCTCGAAAGCCATCCGAGCAGACTGTTCGTCAGCCAGAAGGCGCTGGAGTTCTGCCTTTTCTTCTCTAATTGATTCACGCTCAGTCTGCCAGACGCTCTTTTCAAGCTGGAGGGCGTCCTTCTCATCCTGAAGGGAATCATTCTCCTTCTTCAGGACATCTCTCTCTTGTTCGGTTTTGTCAAGCCGAGCCAGTACCTCGGTATTCTTCATGGCGAGGAGGTCGTTTTCTTTATTAGCCACCTCCAGGCTGTCAGAAAACTTGGCGTTCCCCATCTCCACCTGCTTCTGCATGGCCATCATTCCGAACAATGTCTGCATAGGTGCACATTAAAAACGGTTAAGCCAATAGTCAGGTCGGGCGAAGGCAAGACCAAATAATATGAGAGAATTCATGAGTTGGAAAATAAAAGTCACCTCCATAGCAGATTGGGGAAAGCGGCTGAACACATCCTTCTGGGAAAGGCCCTTTGCCGCCTCAAGGTCCTTCGGAGTCCACATGCTCCTGTAGTAGGCCATAGCGGTCTGGCCATCCTTCAGCATGGTCTCGTTCGGTTTCACGAACGTCCCATCCGTTCGGGTGTACCGAGGGGCCCATGGCGGTAAGGTGGGGATAGAAGGGGGGCCTGAAGCAGAAGCGGAGCCACCAGCTGCAGCAGGCCCAGAGGGAGCAGGAGCTCTGATCGCTCGGTGCAAGAGAGCACCCGGCCCGGAGACCCGGGTCCTTCTAATGAGAGGCTCCTCCTCAGGATCGACTTCACTGTCAGGATGAGGCCTTTTGCCTCGTTCTTTGTCCCGAACGCCCCCCGCAGCAGCAGGAGCTATGGTAGCTTGGGGAGACGCGCTCTGGCTGGCAGCAGGGGCGCTGGCAACAGGGTTAATAGCCACTGTGCTCGGGACAGTGTCAGAGATGGTGGCTGAGGAAGAAGCTGACGCTGGAGAGGAGGTCGCCCCAGCAGTAGGAGTGGCTGGGGGAGTATTTTTCTTCCTGCCAAAAGAAGGAATCTGAAGTCTGCTCATGTTGTAGCCGAGTGATGAGAACGCTAAGAGGTTGTCTGAAGTGAGGAGATCTGAGCAAGAAGGAATATCGTTCAGAACGTATTTCTTCAAGTAGTTACTCCTATCCCTGCAAACACTATAGCTCAAGTCATCACAAGGTATTCCTAAGGAACGGCATAAGAAAGTGCAAAAACGAGGAACGCATGTTCGCAGGGGCAGTCATGTTTATGGGATTTGAATTTCTTATAGGAGGAGACAGAACAGACACCAAAGGCGCTCGGGATTGGGTAATCCTCTGCAGCCGGCGAAGACCAAGCCCCACTAATGCCCACGATGCTATCCCTCCAACCCTTCTCAGATTTTATTGTGTCCGTACATATGGACATCTTCTCGAACGGGTAGAGGTGGTAGAAGGGTTCGTTAGTACGGATCTTACTGACCTTATAGCACAGAAAGAGGTCTATGAGGTCAAGGTCCAGATTTCTGTCACGCATCAACAAGAGCATAACAGATATGATTCTAAAGAAGTTAGGGTTGACCTGCAGAGGGGATATCCCCAATCTGTTGAAGACATAACTAAAGAAAGGGTGCAGAGGGAACCTAACAACATTCAATTGAAGGTTCGTGAATAAGACTTCGCCGGGCAGGAGGCCGGCGCCGGTCATAATGTTAACGTCCTGGGGGCAAACCCTAACTTCGATGTTGTTAGGAAGTCTAAGTCTCATACGAAGAACATCCAGATCTACAACCATGGTGGAAGTGCTTGAAGAATCTAAAAGGGGGTAAATGGAAGCCTGCCGAAAGTAAAAAAGAACGAAACTAACCTCGGAGGACTGCAAGATCGCTGGAAGAATGACTCTTGAAGGATTTCACCAGAAAAAGCTTAGCACTGTTCTAGAAAGAGAGAGACTTGACTGATGATGGAGACGGTAAAAGGACGTGAAGTGGAATTCTAGAGCATTATAAAGGCGAGGGGGCCCGAGGGCCGAAGCGTCGGGAAGGCGAGAAATTCCTCGAGCCCCGGAACATTGATTCTGGATCTGACCGTCCGTTCCCCCACGTGGTTATCTCGAGCCGTCAACATCATGATGAGACGCCATCAATAATTACCCCTTATTAAATAAAGGGCAATTATGGGGGCAGTTGAGGAGGCCCCGGACGACATGGGCCGGATCCGACTTGCAAACACTACATTCAGTCCGTACAGCTGGGTCGGCCCATATAAAGACACTGCCATATGGGCCGAATGCGAGTAAGCCCATCAAAGGTGACCAGGACTTATGGAGGAATGGGCCCAAATCCAGCAATCAGTAAATATCTTGTAAATATCTTGTAAATATCTATAAATAGGATAAGGAATGGAAAGGAATGGGATCTTTTTGAGTTGAGGTGTAAGAATTCTAGAGAGAGAAAGAGGGGAACGAATTTCTTGCATCTTCATTACCAAAACAAATGGCTGGTTTAAGGTAATATTATAAGCAAACCAAAAGGTTACAAGATGTGAACTATAATATTGTAAATGGGTAACTTTCGTGTAAAAAGTTCAAAACAAGTACGATCACGTCGAAAATTTTTAGTTTGATTTTAAGACTCAAGATCGGATGCGAAATTAAAGATTGATCATGCCAACTTTTTATACACTCCAAGATGATAAGAACAATGTATTAGTAAGGTATGAGTATGTAATAACACTTGCATGTTTTCGGGTTTAAGCCTTTAGGAAAGAAAAAAAATTAAATTGTTTTTTTTTTTTTGTTCTTTTCTCAAACTGCCTCTGCGGAACCGGATCCGTCCTGCATAACCGGCTCTGCAAATGAAGTTTTTTCAAAATTAAGTTAACTCGAAAACATTCTGGCCAATTGGAATCAGTTTGGCAGCATAAAAAAAATTGCGCTCTTGCAGACCGAACAGGAAACTTCAGTCCTATTCTGTTTTGGCTTTCTCTTTTTAGATAGACTTTTGAAATAATAATCATGCTCAAAATTAACTTGTTTTCAAAGTACAATTAGTTTTTCAAAAATTTATAAATACATGTTTTCTCATTTAGGGTTCGTTTTTTGCATATTAAATTTCTAAACTATTTTGAGAGCTAACTGTGTAAGAATTTTTAGAGTATTTATTTTCATTTAGAGCATACACACTATACACACAAGTGACTTGGGTATTGTTCCTATTCTGATCGGAACACTAGTGTAATGTTTCCAATTTTTACCATTTTCCATTTTTTGGAATTTTTGAATTTTTTAGGGTATTTTTGTCTTTTCTCATTTTGCGTGCCGGACATCATGAGGTGTGCCAAGTGTGTCTGAGAGTTGGTTGGGGCATTCCATTGTGTTCAAAACTCGTGGAAATGTAATGGTTGTCATTTCGACATTTTTTTTATTTTTGGGCCGGAAGGTCCCAAGTGGGACCCGTTATCGGGATTGTGGTATACAAGGACTGTGTTTTGGGTTCATTGCATTTCATACATGTCTAATTATTGTACATTTGTGTGGTGACATGTTTACTTTGTGGATTTAAATTGGTTAATGTAGATATATATTTATATAAAGTTTAATGTTAAAAGATATTTTAAGTGGCCATGGGACTTATCATCATTGAAAGTTATTACAAATGACTTATTACATTGGCAGAGTCTTTATTTCTCACCTAGCAGTCACAAGATTCTCTTTCTCGGCTCCATTTTCTTTTCTTTTCTTTTTTTTCTTACACACTTCAAGCCTTGATCTAGAGTTAATTATTGAGAATTTGATCTTGCCACCTGAAGCAAAGTTGATGAGCGCGTCGAGATCTTCGTTTTGATAGGAGCAAAGTGACGATTGGCCAACCATTGGATTTTCAAAAATTTGGGTAATTTTTGGGCGTTTTCTCTCACTTGAGGTAGGGATGTCCTAATCCACAAAAACTCTTTGATTTTTGTAAATTTTCTTTATAATTGAATGTATGGCACGCTTAATTGTACTTAACTCTTGAAAAAAAAAATCATTATATTGTTGTTAATGATTTGTATATTTATGTGAAATTCTATGTGTAAATGATGTATGTATATGTGGTTTGTAAACTTGATGTGAGAAGCATGCTTATGTGAATTTGTTTCATAGATTATATGTTTAACATGCTAGATTATTGTTACATGGAAGCATGATATGTTCTTCGTATTATTTGTAGAGTATGTTAGGTGGTTAAGTTTGAATTAGAAGCATGATAATAAATATTGATATGGCATGAAAATGCATGATACATTCATGCATAAACATTGGGAAGAAATGGGAAAAATGATTTTAAAGGAAACGAAAAAGGTTTTGGGAATAAGTTTTGAAAGGGTTTACGAAAACCCGGCCGCCTAAGAGTTGCCTAGAGACCGTGGCGTTAGTATGGCCTAGAGGGAATTAGGGAGATTGCCCTAACGTAGTTGAGTTACCTGTGCCCCAAATGACGCCATGGTGTTGCCATGGGTTAGAGACAATTAGCCAATCTTTCTCTCATGCCGTCATGGAGTTGTCATGGGACAAGTTACACTAACAGTTTGGAAATGATAACAGAAAAAGTTTTGGAAATGGGGAGCGACATTGCATAACATTGCAAGGCATGGTTCGTTTATACCTTAGATTATTGTTGTTGATGTTGTGGATATATTTTTTGCCCGGAAATGGCATGATCCCGGTTCTTTTTTTTATTCCTCGTTTAGATTCACGGGGTCATAAGAGGTGTGTCTTAAGCACCTCCTACTGAGCTATTGTGCTCACCCCTTTATTATTAATATTTTTCAAGACACGGAAAGGAGGTAGCGGACGACCATCCACCACAAGTTTAGACGAGATTGGAGATTTATATTTTGCTATTTTTGTTTTAGAACTTTAATATTTTGTAAATGTAAATCTTAACTATTCTGTAAAGCTTTAGTATAATTTGTATAATGTTGTAAATTATGGACTTTTGATTTCAGCTGTATTTTATGGACTATAAAATTGATGTAATTAGAGTATGTTCCTTGTAAGGAGTATGAGACTAAGCAGTGGACTGGCGCTTCCATGTTTTTGAAGTAATTGGAGGAATTGGATTCTTTTTATATATATGTCATTGTTTTGGGAATGTTTTATATTATTTGCATTATGCGTTGAGACGGGATAGATTAGTTTAAGGAAAAGTGAGGCCATTACATTTTTTTTTTTTTTATGCAGTTCAACAGGTTGTATAAGAACTTTTTCTGCGAAGGTTATGCCGAAATTTTATATATTATTATTATTATTATTATTATTATTATTATTATTTTGGTATCTTTTTGGGTCGTTACAAATTTGGTATCAGAGCATTATGTTCGAAAACCTTTAGGATAACGGGTAGTGGCTTACCTAGATTAGGTAGAAGATTGACTTGCATTGATTGTGTGCTTGTGTTTACATGTTTACTGTTTTAAGAAATATGCTTCCTTGTTTCCTATTTAAATGTTTAATGTTTGACAAACATGTCTATTTGCTAAGTGCTTATATGTTTAGATGTCAGTACATGTAAAAGAAGTGTATATGTGATTTGAAAGTAAGTTAATTGTGACAAGATGACAAATCTAAGATGCATGGTAATGGCGAGTGGTAGGCACAGTTTGTGCAGATTTAAATTTAACTAATAATGTAGCAAGTAGTGGGTATGGTATATGAAAGCACATTTCATATGGTATTGTGGGTTACAGTCATCTTATATATAGATATCTAGATACTTATGTGCATATGCGGTCGAGCCTAGGATTGTCGCTAGTACGGTAGAGTACTTGTTGCGACATAGATGGTTGTGTGAGTTTTGACCCGAGTAGGTGAGGAGCTAAGTTGCTCCAGAATTGTTTGGGTGTCGTTTCTTATCGAACGAATGGCGTAGATTTTTAGCTTATGGATTGAGCTATTCGGTACGTAGTTGTTCATTTTTCTTGTTATTTTTGTGGTGCGATGCTCGAGGCACGGTCTTGGAACGGTTACATGTGACGCAATGTAGTGTCCAAGGTGAGACGTATGAATTTCATGTGTTAATGCGTGAGTTCCTGTGATCGGAGAGATCAAGTGTGCGATGTGAGGTTTTCGTGAGAAAGGTATGACCTTAAGAGGTTAGTTTTGGTGACTTAGGTCACGGTTTGGTATAGAGGTTCTCTTCGAACCGTTTTGTTATGAGTGTGATAGAGGTTGCTAGGGTCACGAGTGTAGTCTATTGGTTG